ATGGGTGGGGTCTGTGTGCTTGTGTGTTGGTATGCATTTATTTGGCGGAAAGTGTTGGATATTTCTGCGTGTGTATATGACGGTAGGCATTTATTTGTTTGAATGCGTGGGGCGCAGTGCTCGTTTCAGTGGTCATGCATTTATTTGATGAGAAGTGTTGGATTTTGTCTGTGGATGTGAGGGCAAGTATTTATTAGGTTGGATGGGTGGAGTTGCGTTTGCGTATTGAAGAGTATGCTTTGATTAGGCTGTGTTATGTTTCAATGTCTATATATACATTTATTTCATTTCGTTATTGGGTGCGTATCTAGTTGTTTATGCATTTAGCTGATTAGATATCAGTTTTTATGTGTGTGTTTAGAGGTTTTTATACCTATTTAGCTGAATGCCCAGGATTGTGTATTTTTATGCAAATATTTGGCTTGATAGCTGGAATTTTGTTTGCTTGTTCGTATCTCGTGTGTAGTGGGTCAATAATTCATTTTATTAATTTCATGGAGATGTCCAAGACGATTGTATGTGTGGCAGCGGTTTTGAATAATAAATGTGTCTTTGTAATGGATCCGTATTAGAATTTTCAATTTATATAATTAGTGAATTTATCTTCTCTTCGAGACAAATATTTTTATGCCTTTATCTAACCAGTACGGTTATAAGAGTTTGGTGTTTAAATGCAACTACGTACAAATACATCCAAGATGCTTGCTGTGAATATGTTCGCTTCTTTTATTTACTGATAGCGGGTTGAATAATTAACTGGATGCTAGCTAAATGCTAAACATAGTATACACTATTCTATTATGGTAGGGGTACAAAATTTAGCTAAACATTTTTATTGGTCCTCTCTTTTCAGAGCTCAGTCGAAGACAAGAAACGTGCACAACAACCGCAATGAACACTAAAGATCAAAAGAAATATATATCAATTTATAAATTAATTGCTATAACGCAACAAAGAGAGTCAGATCAAATTAAAACTGGAATATTGCTACCATGTCTCGGTTGGAGCTGCCCAGTTCCCCGTCTTGACAGAGTTCAAAAGCGTCTACGCGACCTTGTAGCTGATGAATTGTTTTCCAGCCTACAGCCTCTTTCCCCACAGACGAAATGTCGTGAAACTCTCGCTGCTCTATCGCTATTTCTATGGCATGTGTTCTGATGAACTACATTCCTTAATCACATTCCTTAATCCCACCAACTCTGACCTTTACCCGCCATACCAAATACACAAGGGTGAATCATCCCTACTTCCTTCGTATTCCATTAGTAAGGAGGAAGTTCCACTGGGACAGCTTCTTCCCAAGAACTGTTGCTTTATGGAACAGACTCTCGAAAAGATGCTTTACATTCAATACAATTTTGCGTTGTCTTTCCTTATGCTTATTATATTTTCTCATACAGCATCACGCATCATTCCTCTACTTTGAGTGGCTCTTGGGGTTTTTTATTGGATGAACATTAGTATAAAAATGGTTTATTTCAACAGTAAAATGCACTGCACCACTGTGGTCGATTTGCCAGATTTGGTTTGGAGAATCATTCTGGAGCCTTTCGGTAAATTTTGAGGCCAAAATGTTCACTCGACATGAGTCCAAGCAAGCATTTGATGGAGCGTAGCTGCGAGGTATATTCGTAAGCAAAATCCTGACCATACAAATGTTCAGTATCTATGGATAGTTATCTAAATGCAATATAGCTTTAACTCTCTCCAGTGATCACCCGACGATTTGTGGAATTGATACGATGTCAGATGATCACGGTTTTGCACATATTAAAGTCTCTCAGCTATACATACTCTATGAAGACTACTCATTGCTGCCGCATCAATTTACACAAATTATGCATTGTAAGCAAGACGGATTTGAGATGCCAAAATAAGGTAAGTATGAACATTTAAATATATGGGAAATGTTTTAACAGAGGACGGAAAAAAGTGACACGGAGATGTGAGTGCGCATTGAAATAGAGAAAGGTGCCTTCCAAATGCTAAGCAAAATAATAAGAAAGAGGAAAATGAAAGGAACGCAAGTGGCAGAGAATGAAGCTACAGAAAGAAAGCTAGACAAAGACAGAGAGAAGAACGAAAATGAAAGGAAGACAGAGAGAAGAAAATAAGAAAGAGATAGATAGATAGATAGATAGATAGATAGAGAGAGAGAGAGAGGGGGGGGGGAAAGAAATGTGTACTTTCCAGCCATATTCAAATATCAACATTGGTCCTCTTATATGGAAGTGAATGCCGGACAATCTCTTCACAGCTTACTGCCTATTCTTACACTCATACAACACTGCACATTAGCCCTCTATCTTGGTTGGGTACTAGAGTTTGATTAACATTAGTATAAAAAAGATAGTTTATCCCATCAGTAAAATGCAGTGCGGCCTTCTGGCCGATTTGCCAGAATTGATTTCTGAATCATTTTGGAGACTTTCGTTAAATTTGAGTCCAATCAAGCGTTTGTAAAGCTTAGTTGCGAAGTATATGACATGCAAATGCCCGC